ATGCTGGATGGTTCAAGGTGTAGAGCATTTGGACGTGGCTGCTGACTGACTTCAGGAACAACTGTCAATAACCCCACAGGAACGTGAAGTCTGCCATGGCATCTGAATCCTATGGTAATTAAGAAACGCAAAAAAAAAAAAAAAAAAAAATGAAGATGAAAATCTCAATTTCCTAGTGCACAACCTTTAATAAACCAAACAATACATACAAAAGAGACGTTGTAAAACTCTCTTCCACCATCCCCGAGAAAAACTGGTGGACATCGCAGCACAGCAGTCCTCATGGCAATAACATCATTGGTCTACAAGAAGGGATAAAAAATAATAAAAGCAAGCCAAAGTGTCTTCTTAAGAAATCGAATCACATTTTTGCACAATAAGTATATGTTATACAATGCATTAACGGTTCCACACTTGGTTTATTGTGTTGAGGTATGGGGGGAAGCATGTAAGACTATTACACATTCTGTTTTTGTTTTGCAAAAAGAGCTGTAAGAGCTATCACTCGAAAAAAAAAACTACCATTATCCAACTAATATATTATTCTGTAAACTGAAATTATTGAAATTTTATGATTTGGTTGATTACAATATTTTGTTAGTTATGCATAAAGCACACCAAAACACATTACCTATAAACATCCAGAAAAACGTTATAAAGAGAGAGAGAGCTGTTATAATCTTAAGGGGACAGAGTTGTTCATGAAACCTAAATTTAGAACATATTTAAAAGAATGGTGCAGCTCAAGGAGTCAGACTGTGTGGAATGATGTGGAAGGTGATGTTAAAAGTGCCACATCAATGTATATGTTTAAGAGAATGATAAATATTAGATTGTTAAAAAATATGTAATTGTTTAATATGTTGCCATTCAATTTATTGTTCTAGAAAGATTCAATGTTTTGCTTTTGTTAACTGAAGATTATTATAGTTAGAATTTATACTTGAGAAAAAAAAGGGGCAGATTTAATAGGATTGTTTTCTTCTCTTTGCCGCCTTTAATTTTATTTCATTTTATTTTCTTTTTTTATTGTACATAGAATTTTGTTTTATGGAATGAATTAAGTAAGACATAAAATAAATAAATAAAATAATTGTTTAGCATGTTGAGAGCACTTCTTTAATGTCTGGCTAAGTAGAATTTGATAGTCCTACCTTAATACAAGCATGCCTAGCATGAAGTTTGCTGTAAGTGAAAGACTGTGAAGAAGAATTGTGCATGTGTGCATGTCCAACTGAACAAATGTAAATTAAGAGTGAGAGTTACGACTGTAACTGCAGTTCTATGAATCCCGGATGACTGCCAGAGGCGGTGCTTAAAGCACTGAATTATCACTCTTGCCCATGCTCAGGTCGAGAATCTTATACCAACATGGTCACGTATGACACCCGGTGACACCGGTAAGTCTATAAAGTCACGTGACAATGCCAGCTCAGTCCCTTAATCTTCTCACGAAACACGATGATTCTGAGGGACCGAACGCTCTGGCGGTCATCCGGGATTCATAGAACCGCAGTTACAGTCGTAACTCTCGTTCTATTTTATCCCTACTGACTGCCAGAGGCGGTACTTAAAGCACTGGATGATGACTACCAACAGAGTCCTGAGGAATCGCACCCCGAAAAGCTACAATCTCAAAACATGCCCACCTCACTGGGATGACGAGCGCTGGGACAGGATCCCCTCCAGCGGGTGAAAGGCAGCCAGGTTTACCCTGTAAAATCTAGCAAAAGTATTCGGAGATGACCAGGAGGGTGCTGCACAGATAGCCTCCAGAGTGACGCCAGTCATAGCGGCCCATGATGCACTAATGCTCCTGGTGGAATGGCACCGTACACCAGCAGGAGGTTGGTGGCCCTGTAGAACGTACGCTTGTTCCACCACCTCCACAATCCAACGCTGTTTGGAAATGGCCTGCCCCTTGCATGGCCCTGCATGGCAAACAAACAGACTATCAGACTGCCGCAGAAAAGATATCAGTCTGACATATGCTTCCAGTGCCCGAACAGGGCAGAGAAGTTCATCAGGCCCACCTGTGTCAAAGCGAGCAAGTTGGAGGGGCACAGAGTGGCTCGCAGATGAGGCTACCTTAGGAAGAAATGTCACGTCAGGCCAAAGAGAAATGCCAGAGCCAGCTGGGTTCCAACGGCAACAGGACTCGTGAACAGACAGCGCATGTAGTTCACCCATCCGCTTCGCCAAAGCCATGGCAAGGAGAAAGGCAGTCTTTTATGACAAATACTCAAGGCTCACCTCCGCCAAGGGCTCAAACGGGGGAGATTGCAGTGCAGTGAAGAAGAGAGAGAGAGGTCCCACACAGGTACAACAGGGCGTAAGGGAGGGTGCAGGCGCCGGGCACCCCTCAGAAACAAAGAAGCATTCTTATTACGGCCTATTGTCTCACCATCCACCACCACATGCCAACAAGAGATAGCAGCTACATAAACTTTCAGAGTGGACGGAGACCGACCTTGAGAAAGCAGTGCTTGAAGGAAGGTTAAAATAAATGAAATAGAACAGCGTACTGGATCCATATGTCTAGCACGATACCAACTGTCAAAAACTTTCCACTTATGAGTGTACACCAGTCGTGTCGAAGGGGCCTTGGCGTTAGTCATTGTATGCTCGACATCTCCGTCATAATCTGAGAAGGAGATGCCGGACCTCGAAGTGGCCAAACCCAGAGCTGGAGGTGACTGGGATTGGGATGCAAGATCCGACCCCCCAGCTGTGACAGAAGGTCCTTCCTGCGAGGGAGAGGCATTGGAGAGCTGCAACAGAGTGTAAGAACTCACTCTATGAAATTAAGACCAGCTCAATCTCACAAAATAATCCCTTACGCAAGATCTTTGCATTATGAAATCTCAGAAAATGACAAGATACCAGCTCTGACCATGAATGAGAAATGAAAACTTGTGACCTGAACGTA